TCAGTTAAAAGACGCAGGGAGAGAAAAGGTCATTTCTCATTCACATCGTAGCAACGAAACACATCCTCCTTATTAGACAGATACCAACAGGCCAAACTAGTAAAAGCGCCCTGTACTGTTAGTCAGCTTGTGACACAAAGAGGTCTTTGTACCAACGCTAATTTGGTTGAGTGGATTACACCTCTTTTTTTAGACCGCAGTGTAAACTACATTGTGCATGTTGTTCAATTGAACTCCTGTATGAAGTGCTCTGGTGCTTATACACTATTCAGTGAAGCTGTACCCCGCTGAGACACAGGGGAAGTCTGACAGGGGAAAATATCAGCCAGGACCACGAACACATCAGCACTTCAGCCAGTCTATAGCATTGATTTCTCTCTGGAAAGTGATCTTATTTACTCCTCCGTTCTTAACCCCTTAATCTGCTTTATATCTGATAGTATTTTATTTTACCAGCTTCCTGAATGTATCGGCTTCTCTGATATTGTGTACTTTGACTGGCAGTTATAATAACAGATACCTGTTGATTGTCTGTTGGTGTTTCTATGTTCACTATGATTTGACATGATAAATCACAGTGCAATAGCAAGTCATTCTAGTAATTGCTATATCCACTCATTAAAGATCCCAGGATTATCCACAACAAGCATGTATAATGTATATGTGTCCAGCAAATGCCGGTCTATGCTTATAATGTCTATTTTTTTAGCTTTAGCTGGTCAAGCACTGCTAGCTTTCCTTATCCTGATATACTGTATGTCACTGCTGTAATCTCAGAAAACATGTTTTTGGCAATAATTTAACAATTCATATGCTAATCATCACTAAATTTCACACAAATGTCTCACAGGATAAAATGATGTGACATTATCATGCTCTGCATAAACACTTTATTTAACAGCGTCAGGAACACAAGGGAAGATTGTGACCATATCTCACATTTGGTCAGATACCTGAATCAGGGACATTAATATTGGGTGCTGCCGTGGAGAGAGAAAATCAGTTCTTGTCTTGTGCAGATGAGAGTCGGTCCTTAAATACCAGGCGACATCACAATCGGATTTGAGCCACCATCAGCATTACACAGAGATGACCGAGGAGGTGACGTCTCTTCTCAGTTATTATTGTGGAGACCATACACACACTAACTGTAACTAACACAGGATGCACATGCTTTAAACCGTGATGTCAAGATGACCTTGTTTATGACTTTCTTTTTCGGCTGAAGACTTCATTGTTCTTCTTTCATCCTAGTACGTCACAGCATCTCAGAGATCCTCCTTCAAAACTCCCACACGTCCGACACACATCCTGTTGTTACGCAGGTATAAAGTCTATTCTCCACATTCAACACGTGTGCACAGGAGGGATTGCACAGGGCTAAACTCCTTTATAATGAGTTGCTTTGTATTTAGCTTCAACACTGTAATATCATGTGGATTATATGACACTCAGTCATGCTAATAAGAGCATAATCACATTGGAAAAGAAATGGAAAATTCAAGCAGGAATTTACCACAAAGAGCCCAACTTGAAACTGTAGTGATTGTATAGATTGTCTTTGCAGCAGGATTCATATTTCAGGCACCATCTTCTGTCACGGCTATGACTTTGTGTTCTGTCAGAATGAGCTTTATTGGCCAAGCATGTGAACGCATACAAGGAATTTGACTCTGTTTTTTCTTGTTTTTTTTTCTCCATGAGCTCACACACTAATACATTAGACATGCAGCAGAACAAGAACAACAAAGCTTTACAAAGTCAAGTCAGTTTTATTTATTCAATGAGCTGGGGGAAAACTCCTGCCCCCATGCAGTGGATTATTGCTGCTAAGATATCTGTGTGTGTGTGTGTGTGTGTGTGTGTGAAATAGATGTTAACTGCACTTTAACTGCTGTGATGAGGAAACCAGAGGCATTTTCCAGCTCCACAAGTATAAAGCCGAGGTCTCTGCTGCTGCTGCTTTAACTGCTCACTGAACATGATTGTGTTATTAACAGCATACAGAGGTTGGCAGTCCTCTTTTCAGCAGTGCTGCGGCAGTGACTTTGCTGTTTTGTGCTGCCAGGAGCATGTTTCCCTCCCCAACCAAGAGTCACATGCTGAGTTTGACTGATTCCTAAAGGCTTCCCCTGTTTGGAATTAGGAGTCCTCCCTTTCTCTGCGCTGATCTGGGGATTACTTACTTCTGCCGTCGCTTTTTGAGCCGCTTCCTCTCCTCCTCTTGCTGTTCATTTTATGGCTGCCACCCACACTTCTCTTGTTCTGAGAAAGCCGTCATTATTTTTCTCTTAACTCCCGGGTCTTTGTGCATATTGTTACACCTTTATACTGTTCAAACTGAAAGTATTTGGGCAGTTTCACATTTTTTTTTGTTCATCATCTTTAATTTTAAATGAAATACATTGAAATACCAAGTCTCATTTGTATAATATTATGTTTTTAATGTCTTCTTTTTCTCATACCATTTTTATGAAGGGTTCTGTTTCAGTTATTTCAATTGGTTTGGTTTCTCTGTTTTGTATTTTATGTGATTATTATTGTTTATTCATCATTTATCTTTGTTTTGGATTTACTTCATTGGTCCTCAATTGCTTCTGTATTATCTACCTCAACTCAGATTCATTGCCTTTTGTTACAACTTAGTCTTACAGAAGGCTTGGATGGAAAAGACCAATAAGCCGTCACATTGTTTGAATGGATCATGACAAAAGACAATAAAAACAGAATTTCAGAAAAGAAGTCTCAGCTTTAATTTGAGTAGGTTTCTATCAATATAGAATGAATTGCGTGGGAGGTGTACAGAGGTTCAAAAGTATTGAACAGATACACATGGAGTCAAACAAAATCATCATATTTAATATTGTGTAGTCAATGACTGCCTGAAGTCTTGGACCCACAGACATCACCAGACGCTTTGTACCTTTGTATCTTTGTATCTCTCGCGGTGATGCTCCCTCAGGCCTTCACTGCAGCCTCCTGCAGTTCCTGCTTGTTGTGGGACTTTGTTCCAGGACTCTTACGTATCTGTGAACTGCAGTCTGGTCTTTCTTTGTCTGTGGTTTACCAGGGGTTTGCATCGTGTGCTGCATCCTCTGAGGTTCTGTCATGAAGTCTTCGCTTGATTGTTGACAAGGAAACATGTCCGCCTACATCCTTCCTCTTCTTTCCGTCACCCACAAGATGCTCCTCGGTCGACCAGCTCTATGACATTTTCCAGTTTCCTATGTGGACCTGCTTTTCTAGAGCAAAACCCAACTGTAGATTTTGACCAACTAAATACCTTTGATATCTCTCTGATAGATTTCTGCTTTTCTGAGCTTCGGTATGATCTTCTTCACTTGCAATGGTCACCTCTTCACTCCTCATATTGACAGACAACTCCTCCTCAGTCTGAACAGCAAATCTCAGTAAACTCTTTTGTTCATGAACAACGCACACAAGCGGGTGGGTGGGGGTTCTCTCCCTTTGCTGTCTGTCTCTCACTGTCGCTATCGGAATTAAGGCAAAAATAACTTGAAAAAAAAAACCAAAATGTGATGAACCTGGCTGGGACGCACTTGTTGTTCAACGCTTTGTGACTTTTAAAGTTAAAAGCACTAAACAACAAGTGCATCCCAGTGTCCCCTGGAAACACCTCCGCTGTGTTGTGAGTATTTGTAGCACATGTGTTGTCAAATTGATGAAGATGTTTTCTGAATTTGTTTGTGTTTTGTCTGTTTGCATTTTCTTAAGTTGCAGTGTGTTGATCTCTCAGGGCCACTGTACAATGTCCATAATTATTGATAATTTTGAATGAGCTATTTGACCAGGAGAAGAGTAGTTACACTGCTGCGTGGGCTTCATCCTTTTCCCATTTCAATGTTTTGTCAATCGGTGTTGCTGCTGATGCCTCTCCATCCTGAACTGTCTGCGGGTTGTGTCTTGAGATGTGGCAGATGTTGATTGTGGTTGACGGCGTTGTTGTGTAATCCAAAGGGTGGAAGCGGCTCCTGCTCTCGGTCGGGACAATTTTTCTGCACAATGATTGGCTGTTTTTCACTCATAGCACGCTCCATTATCAAGGGATATGATAGGCTGTTTATGAGCCAGGCGGGGGGCGAGCTCAGGGTTTGTTCATGCAACTGTGAAACTTTCTGTGGAAAAATGTCCGTATAGCTATGTTGCTGTTGTTTTATCACCCAGGCCTAGCATTCATGCATGTGTACACATGGCATGCTCCTGATTGTGCTCAGGCAGCCATCTGATCTGCACTGTGCAGGTACTGCAGCGGGCTTTTAATCTGACAATACACTGAGACAGTAATATCCTGATGGGCTGTTGCGGCCTAAAAATAAAAGCAGGGAGTATGGAGTCTCGTTGTAACTGAACCCACCACAGACATCTCTCTCCTCTCACAATAATGAGCAGGAACTCGCATATGCACAAATCCATCATACTGAAGGAATCGTGAAGACATCTCTGCAGCAGACAGACAAGAGGAAAGGAAGAAAAGCAAAAAAGCAGGAGAGTGACAACTAACTAAAAGGGATGGCTGTGGTTGTGTAACCCACTGAGGGAGAGAGTGTATTGATCAGCTGCTATCCTGCCGCTTTCCGCCTCATTATCAGATGACACAGAAGACTGTCTTTGGTCAAGCTGCACATAAAGATCCATTATAGCTGCACAACAAACTCTGCAGCTCGTGTCATGTAGGCAGTGCACCACGGAGTGTTGTTGTCTTTGATTTTTTTCTGTACTATATGTTCTGTACAAGATCTATTTTTGAAACGTTTTGCACTGAAAGAAAAAAATCACCTTGTCTGTGGTTTGTATGACGTCACCCTATGGAGCAAATATTGCGCCTTTAAACTGCTCTCCAAGAAAAGCATCAATGTGTATTCTATACATCAATAGACTGAAGGATTGATTGTAAAAGTAACTCCCTCTCTCTCTCTCTCTCTCTCTCTCTCTCTCTCTCTCTCTCTCTCTTTGTCCTCCAGACTCTGCACCTCAGCACCATGAACAAGATGAAGAACTTTAAGAGGCGTTTCTCTTTATCTGTTCCTCGCACTGAGACCATTGAGGAGAATGAGTTCACCGAGCAGATCAACCAGCTCAACATCCAGCACACTCAAGGTAAGAACTTCCCTCACTTTAATATCGCTCAGCTTTATGTGGCACTTGTTTTTAAATTTAAAGAGTAAAGTTCTTCCTAGATTTTCACTGAAGGTTTTAAATGAGACGGTGCAGAATTTTTAAAGAAATCCAATTTTACTCTGAATGACAACATTTATGAGCATGCAATGCCAATGTTTTCAAAATACAAATATTCCTATAAAATTTGTGCATCGCTGCTACCATTGTTAAGGTTAAAACTGCACTAAGCAATATTTTTGTATTAGCAATGGATCAGGAAAATACGTGCAATGTGAACGAATGACTCACAGAGCCGAAACCCACAGTGAATTATCACCCGACCCCGCAGTTCCCCTCAGCTTTAAGGAGCGTCTTTGCCTCTTCCAGATAATTGTTTCGGTTTAATGATCCACAACTCTCTACTGTTTTGCTTCACACATAAGCTGTGTCTCAATTCGGGGGGGGGGGGCGCATCGGAGGATGCAGTCTACACGCCGTTAACCACGAAAGCTGAACTGAAATGAGGCCCTGCGAAGCCCACAGAGGATTTTCGCTTCATGTCACCAGCTGTGTCAGCTAAAAAGCTCTAAAAAGCCCATTGTACACAACCTGCTCAGCACCAAACAGCAGACACGCAGTTAACAAGTAGCTAGTGAAGAAAGGGGAGTATTTAGCTTTTATAGAGCCAGATGTTTCCCTCAAGAGTTGGTAGAGAAGAAAAACAGAGTTAAAAGAGAGAGGATATTGGACTTACATTTTCGAGTGTGACCAGAAACACAACTCTAACTGAATGCTACTGTTGCTCCGTAACTGCTGTGTGTGTGTGTGTGTGTGTGTGTGTGTGTGTGTGTGTGTGTGTGTGTAAATGAGCAGCAAAACTGAAAACTTACAACTTACGACTTACATTTACATTTACTCATTCAGCAAATGCTTCTGTCCAAAGCAACTTACAAGTGAGGGACAGTAGTGCAGTAGGACACCTTGGTTTAAGTACTGAATACTACATCTGTTTAGTGCAAGGAGATCAGGTGAAGAGGTGCAGTGAAAGTGTTGATTAGGGATGTTAGGTTGATAGAGGTGCGAAGAGAGGAGGTGCTCTTGGTAGAGATGAGTCTTCAAGGGATTCTTGAAGACAGAGAGGGACGCCTCTGCTCTGATAGTGTTTGGACCAGAGCAGTCTGGACTGAGACTGTCTTGTGTGCAGGGATGGCAATGCCAGACGACATTCCTTGGAGGAACGCCGTGGCCGAGAAGAAGCATAAGGCTGCACGATTGAGTTCAAGTAGATGGTGCAGACCCAGAGGTCTCTCTGAAGGCAGCATTAGTGACTTGAATTTGATTCGGGCAGCCATGGGTAGCCAGTGAAGGTCGATGAGAAGTGTGCTCACAACAAATGGGCAAAAACCCCAGAGGTTTAAAGGGACATTTGGGGTTATTTGACATGGCGTTGTGTGAGGTAGCCATGCATAAGTTGGTATGTTACCTGCAGTAGATACAGATCAGCACGCAGCAGGAGAGGCAGCAGGGAACATGGTACACTAGCAGAACTACGTGTCGCTGTGCAATGTGCCACACTTAAAAGACACCCATTGCGGGGCGTCGAGTGGTGCAGTGAGTTGAGCAGGCGCCCCGTATGTAGAGGCCACAGTCCTCGCTGCAGTCGGCCCCGGTTCAAATCCCGCGTCCGACGGCCCTTTACTGCATTTCATTCCACCTCTCTCTGCCTCCCCATTTCCTGTCTCTCTCTACTGTGCTATCCAATAAAAAGGCATGAAAATTTTTTTTTAAAAAAAGCCCAAAAGACACCCACTGAAACAATCCAATATTCATGTTGAATATTTTTAGCACGTTATCTTCCTGTCAAAACACTACTTTGATCTTTGATCACTACTTTGGTACTGCATTTGTTTTGTAGGAAAGATAAAGCGCTGAAAATATTCTACAGAGTGTCTTCAGCGGCTGAAAAAACATTTTATAACCAATAAAGCAACGGTTAATTGAGCACATTCAAACTCCTGAACCTTGAGCTCTTCCACTTCCTTGTGTCTTTAGGTCTCTGTGCAAATGAATAGCTTGTGTCTAATAATAGAGCACAAACTGCAATCTCATTCTGGGTTTTAATACCAAATACAAAAGCCTCCCTTTCTTCCATGTCTGTAAGGAACCCCTCACAGATTAACTAGGGCTTTTCCGGCTACGGCTGGTACCACCACCAGCGCCTAGTCACAGGGGATCAGCAGGCTTCAAAGGGAAATGAGGGTTATATGGTTGGATAAATAGGGGAAGATAAGGCAAAGGAAGTGAGTACATTCAGAATGAGTTATTCAAGTGTTTCTGCCTCATTACCTAGACTGCAGATGATATGAGCACATGATGTTTTCATCCTACACCTTGCTTGTCAGGTTATTTGCTTCAAGCTGAGAAACAAAGTGTAGATTTGTTGCTTTATATTTGGATACCATTAAAAAAAAAACAACATGCATTATCAGTAGAAGGAGGGAATCAGATCATGTGGGAAGCAAGGTCACCCGAGGTGAGCAGAAATTGCTGCCAAGTCAAGTGCACAAGTAATACAATGTAAGCATGATGTACTGTAATCAAGTGGTTTCATCGTCGTCTTACCACTCGAGGCGAGTAATCAAAATCAGGCAACTAAAGCCTCCTGTGTGGACAGTGAGTGCAGTTAAGTGAGGCATTTACGCAGCTGCCTGACGGAGAGAAGCAGCTGGGTATGTGGTTTAACCCCCCCAGAGTGCATCTGCCCGCATCCCTGTCTGTCTGCTCCTGAAGGTCAGGACAGAGGTAACCAGACAGACAGAGATGAGAGAGAAGACATGATGACGTTTGGCTCATGCCAGCACACGTCTGATGTTAACGCTCCTCTCGAAGCGTTTCCCGCTCCTCTCTCTTTTCTATCTTGTTCCCGTCCTTCCTCCTATGTGAGGCTGAAGCTGTCACACTCTCACAGAATTATACACAGCGCTGCTTAGATGTAAAACACCATCTGACATTTTTGCAAAGATTTAATCATCACACGGATATTTCCTGAATGGTGCATGTGTGTTTTATCAAAGGACCCAGTGGATAAGTCAGTGTGGTGTATGTTAAAGGAACGTTGTGACAGTTTGGGGAATATGCTAAATTGCTCTCTTGCAAATGGTTATATAAGACTGATACCACTGGCATGTGTCGGGGCAACCCTGTCTCCTTGAAATGATGTTTATGTGCAACTAAACTGCAACAGCAAATCACTGACTGGATCATATTCAGTCAAAATTTGAAAATACAGCCACTGTCCTGCAGCTACAGTTAGCATAAGGCTAAACTATTAGCAGCATTCAACATACCCACTCATCACCTGCTCTCATGGTAAATCTACCTACACAACCAACCACTGCAACACATTTAGATATTAGAGGAAAATGAAGTCAGCAGCCTGTTACCTGTCTAGGAGAAGTTCAGCAGGTTCTCTCCATCTCTGAAACACGTCACTGATATTGGCACGTGTCCATCAGAAGGGACATTAACGTCGACCACAATGAACTTGATATCTGTATCTGTATATCTAGAAATCATGTCTCTCTTGCTAAAGGCTCTAGCTTCATATTTAATGTACAGACATGAGAATGGTATCTTCTCATCCTACTATATAGGCGCTCCTATAGAAATGATAAAGGAGAGATACTGTGGGATCTCTCCTTTACTATCTCTATATATGTATTAGGCTGTCGGTCAGTGGTCAGTGGTGGAATCCAATTAGTATGATTGTTTTCCGGTGGATTGTATGTAGCTTGATATGTCAGGTATTTCATTTACTTGATTAACCAAAAATAGACCTTCCTTCCTAGGCCTATTGCCCGGCTTTAATGATAACCATAATTGTGTATACTGTATATCCATAACTGTCTATACAAATCGTATTAAATGTACTGTACAGCTCATTCTCCTGAGCTTATGTCCGTCAGTCTTATCTGGTAATTGGATTCTCTGATATTGTTCAAAACAAGAGTAGCTGGATCAAACTGACAAACAAAGAGAAAATCAATCACTCTCACCTCACTTGAACTCATTAGAACGTGCAAACAAGCACATACGATGTAGAACACAATATATACACAAGCTTTCTTTACCGTTAGTCTAGTGAACTGTTATACATTTATCTAGATTCATATGACCAGAGGAATACTCTCAGAGCTTTCAGAAGTAATAATGCACACGCGTGTGTTGTATGTGTACGTGTGTGTGTTAGCATCGGTGTCCTAAGGGGTATCCATGACTTACTGCCTGACTAACCACTAATAGCTCTCATTGTGCAGAATCCCCCTGTTCACTTTCCATATATTAGTCCATTTGGAGCTGTTTTGTTGAGCTCCCATGCGAACGTGCTAATGTGATGTTGAGAGTAATCACATAATCCACGGTGACACGTCAGCGCTCAGATGAGAGATCCGTCTGAAACCAACTTGAAAACCAACTGTCTCTGCTGAAGATCTGCTGCAAGAAATTAATCCTGATTATAGGAATAACAAATAAATTAGCTTGAAAAGTCAGTTGATTTGAATCAGTTCTGTGTTGGTTGCACATCAGATTTCTTTAAGTTATTAAACCCCTTAGCACACACACACACACACACACACACACACAATACACACACAAAAAGCCTTTATTACTTATTACTTATCTTGGTAATGTTGACTGGCTCTTGTCCAAGACAAACTGCTGTTTGCTTTTACAGGAATAGCATTATTAGCAACTGTTCCCATCAACCTTCCTCATCTGACTTGAGACTTTTAGCTTTGCCTCAATTAACCCTACTCTTTGCTCTTTGCTGCCATTAATTCATGTTTTTGGCAGGTGTGTTAGCAAATACACTGTTATTTACATCTCTAGCCAACGTAATGTTACCTGGTGAATGTGCACAGTTCATTAGGTACACCATGATTAAACTAATGCAGTCTAATACAGTTGGTGGTGATTATAACTTTAAGTCTGTGTTGAAACTGCTTCAGAAAGGTGCTGATTCACCTCCTTGATCATTTTGGAGGCTGCAGTTTGTGGTGGTGTTTAGTTGTATTGTCTTACACGAACAAACATTCTATTATTTTGTCCACACTGTTTAAATGAATGAGGTGAGGCTAAATAACAGAATCACCTCTCTCTATAATGTAATACAGTTCAACAGCACCTAAATTAACTAATTATCATCCGATTGAATCAACACCTCTCTCAAACACTTTCAACAAAAACCTTGTCTTCATGAAGGAGGGTTTATTGCAGAACTGTTGTATTAGACTGTCTGAGACTGAGTGTATGTCTAATATTCTCTCTCTTTTGGTCTCCAGAGGCTTTGTATCTGCTAAATGTTCAATTTCACTAGCTAGTCGCTAACTTTGTCTCTACTGCTGTTTAGTGCTGGATAGGTGTATAGTGAGTTAATCAGACCTTTCTGCTGCTGCTGGAAAACAATGCTGATGAGAGCTGTGAGAGGGAACCAGAGGAGTAGTTTGTGGCCTGCCGTAAAACCAAAACTTTGAAGTGAAAGACGACGGGGGAACCGCAGAATTCACACATAGTAATTTGACCCTCTGTTGATTCAAAAATATTGATTGGTGCACTGTTAAATTGACTCATCAATCCAACCAATCATTGCACTACTCTTCTTCCCTGCCTGAAAGTATTGGTGTAACCATTAGCAGAAATCTGTACAGCACCACTATATCAGAAACTCCTCAGTGTATCTTTAAATATAAAGGTTTTCTACTCAATTCTACTCATTTTATACTAATTTAACCAAGCTTGAGAACCACACCTTTAGATAGATACAAATCCATCTTTCAAATATCCATCATCAAATATTATCATGCTAATATGCTAAACTAAGATGGTAAACATTATACCTGCTAAATATCAGTATGCTAACATTGTCATTATGAGCATATATCATAGTGATGTATTTAGCTCAAACTCCACAAAGCTACAGGGTGTACAGTGGTAGGTAAGTACAGCCACACCGAGCAGCTAGCGCAGCTGTAGACTCTTGGTCTTGTTTAGTATTCACAGCATTTTTCATCAAGGTTTATGGCACTGAAGACTTCTGTAAAGTGTTTGTAAAATGTGGTTCTGTCCTCAAGCAAGGCACCTAACCTTTAGCTGCTTAATGACTGTAGTGAACAGCTTTGTAGATTTAAATGCGAGTAACACAGTGAAAATAAAACTGATCTTAAACTTAGCCTAGATGTTAATTCTGCCATTATTTATGAAAGCTCGTTGTCCAACAGATTTCCATGGTTATTTCCTGCAGCCTCTTCCTCCCTCTTGCTGTAATTACAATTTCAGATGGAAATGCTACAAAAACATCATGTGGCGCAGCATATTGGATTGTCCTTTTCCTAACAAGATCTCTAGCAGGCAGCCATCCATATCTCACAGCAATCAGGCACAGTGTCACAGTGTGCGTGCGTGAGCGTGTGCTCATGTCCCTGTCGCCTTTGCTGACCCTAATTAGCATCGGGAGATCAAAGGAGCGTTATATCTGTGATATTCAAATGACCAGCAAACAGGGTGTCATTTCATCCCCCCCAGCTCATTTAGCCTGTCAATCAATCTCACACAAAGTGGCCTGTCAGACGCTTCTCTCTGTAGCGCTGTTAAAAAAACGCCTTGTTAAACCCATCCAAGCATTTTCAAATGTTCAGGCCCAGCACACCGAAGAGTCACCTTGGCCTCGATCTGTCTGCTTTATTTTTTCACTGTAATTGATACACCTGCAGTTTCTTATATGAGGGTAATATTATGTATTATATTATATTATATGTGTATATTTGTTTAATTGGTGCTACATTTCCTGTGGTATGAGAGAGACCATAAGCCAAGAAGTAAATATTAATTTGTGTGTGTGTGTGTGTGTGTGTGTGTGTGTGTTTGTGTGTGTGTGTGTGTTGAGGGGGAGGCTTTAAAGAGACATATGAGACTTCCTCCTTAACACCAGGGCCTGCTTCCCTTGTTAGCCATTGTCCCCATGGAAACAACAAGTTAAAGGGCTTCATGCTTCAGCCCAGGAGGGGCTTACAATACACACACATACACGCACACACACACACACACACACACACACGCCTGGAGGCTGCCCATAAAATGGAGATACATGTCCACTTCACGCTCCATGCTCACCGTACCGGTGAGGCAGCCAACACTTGCCATTGAAACTGGGAGATCAAACTGCAGCTGAAATCTCACAGCCGGTAGCACTCAAAAGACGCCGACCGTATGATGAGGATCAAAGTCCATTCTTCCCACTACAGTGGCTGGAAGCTGTCACATTATGATGATGGTGTGCTCACAGTATAATTGTGTAACACGTTCGCTTCAGCAGCGTTCATTATTATCTCCTCTGCGGTCTTGATGAGCCTCACCTCTGAAAACAAGAAGCTAGGAGTCAACTTTGTAGTTACATGATGCCTCTCTTTGTTCTGTGGAGATATATCAGTACAGTAGTTGAATGATGAGTAAATGTTTTTATTTATTTTTGTATGGCCTTTCATTCACTAACAGAGAGAAACAGTCAAGGAGAGGTTTGCACTAGAGGCTTTGCCAGGACATCTGATTTATGTATTCATTACCAACAATCAGCATTAGAAACCCAGGAAAACTTTGGTAGCTTTAATGAGTAGTTAGTTTTTTTAGAAAGGGTTAGGAATACAGTTACACAGGTTGTCTACAAGTTTATTTTTAGTAAAATCTCAAATCAAATTCATATCAAATTCATCCACATTAATCCACATCTAGCTAATCACACACACATTTGACAAAGTAAGGCATTAATAACTTGTTTGTGAACACTTGCTTCTTTACAACCCAGCTGACACGGAGTAAAATAATCATCCATTTGAAGTTGTGTGTTTGGCAGTCTTACATGTTCCAATATTCACTTTCCTTTAAGGTCTGTTTTGGTCTTCCCCAGCTCCAGAGAAAAATGTTTGGCTCTTTAGCTTCTAAATTATCCCCTTTGTCCATCAGCTAGTTGCTAACTTTGTCTGCTGTTTGGCATACAGTGAGTTTATCAGACCTTTTCTTCTGAGAATACAAAGCAAATAAGTCTTTTTGAATGCTGTAGTGTGAAAGGGGAGAGCAATAAGAGAAGATGTATACCACTCACACAGACTTGTGTCTGTATGAAGCTGGTCCCAGCATCTGCTTAGTTTAACTTGGCATTAAGACTGGAAATGGAGAAACAGCTAGCCTGGCTCTCTACAAAGGTAATAAAATCCACCTACCAGCATCAACACCTTATATCTTGTTTGTTTAATAGAAAAAGTGTAAAAACTGACAATTCGCCATGTTACAGAGGGGTTATTTGCTGGACTACCTCTTGGCACCAGCTGAGTAGTCACCTTCTGTGTAAAGATTAAATGAACAAGATATAAGGTATTGATCAGTGAGCTTTAGAAGTGCTAGTGGGCACCTTTGTGCATTGACAGACTACCTGTTTCCCTGTTTCCACTCATTATACCAAGCTAAGCTAATTGGCTATTGGCTGTATTCATATTAAACTGACTGATATTGATCTTCTTCACAGAAAAGGGTGCATTCAAAATCTTTAACTTCCAAATTTAAGATGTGTTATGTATTTATGTTAAACTATGAGGATTTTTTTTTAAATTCTCAAATACCAAAAATCCAAGTATCAGTTGGGTTTTAGTGTGTATGGATGTATCTGTGACAGTAGGTTTTGTGTATGTGTGTCATGAAGGCTTATATGCATTGTGTACCTATACATGTAGATTTACTTTAGTACTTCCATAGCTGACCCTTTTATTCAGAGCGACTTTCAGTGTGTCACATCAAGATGGATGTCATGTAGAAACCTCAGCTACTTCTCACATTAGTGAGAAGTCTCTGTAATAAAAACCTAAATAAATGAGTGGAGAAACGCAACAAAAGCAGATGCTTCCATATGGAACACAAGAATGAAAAAAACATAAAAGTGGAAGTGTAAAGAGAAATAAATCAAGGAATGAAAAATGCTTTTACCTATTGCTTTTGCTTTTAGGTAGGTAAAAGCAAAGGTAATAGGGGAAAAGCATTTTTAATTCTTTTTTTTTATTTCTCTTTATATTTCCACTTTCATAGTTTTGCACTTACTGATTTATTATTTTATTTACTTTTACAGATTTATTCTTTTTTCTGGCACTCCTCCTTACACAAGGAGTCACTCAACAGTCAAATGACTATAATAATGATATAGATCATTTGCTATGGTCTTCACAGAAACCAGATTTTAACTCAGCTGAAATTTGTTCATCCCTCTGTAGAAATTCAGCTTTGGACACCAGTGAGAATAGTAGCTGTTCTGGAAACTAGTGGTGGCCCAGCACCATTGGTTTTGTCCTTTGTCACCCATCTGTACATCTGCAATTGTTGACCGAATATGTCTTTTCTACGGCAGGCCTGACTCCAGACAGACTGGGTCCTCCATCTCATGATGCCAGTCCGGTGAGCCCTGAACCAACCACACCAGGAGCTCAGTCTCCATCCCACCTCCACTACCACAGCAAGGCCCAGCACAGACGTTTCTCCATGGAGGTAAGTAGTACGGTCTCAGAAAGCAGCTGTAGGAGGACACAGGTTAATATGACAGATGAGGGGTTAACAGGCAAAGTGTTCACTTCACAAACTGCCGAGCTTTTCCTTCACAGTAATTTACGTGCCGCAGATTATGCACTTACAGGAAACTGTCCAAGTTCACGCACGTATTAAAAGCCTTAAAAGTCGGTCTGACATATATATCAGCAGTGGCACAAGTAGTTTGTTCTTCTGTTAAAACTCTTCCCCAGGAGTCATTTCTTCATTTCCACCTCTGCCAGCTCAATGAGATGAGTCACCTTCAAGGCTTTTAACCCTCCTCCCCGCAGCACCAGACTTTTTTATCGGAAATGTGAGAGAGTTCACAGTTCCACCTTTTCAGAAAAAGTCCCTGCGGAGCTTGTGTGATTCATTCCAAATCTTTCTAATATTCCACACAATTCGTTCCAGACAGGCAAGTGAAGCTATGCCAGAGAGAAAAGAGCACTCATGAAGGACTTGGTGCTGTGAAGACAAAAATAATGGCGCGACAGTGAGAGGACTGTGAGCTTAGACCGTCTGGAAAACCTTCAATACACAATGTGTGTACCTCTTTCTGAAAAAATGGTTTACTAGTTGTAAATAATTGTTGTACGGCTGATTAATTCTTTATAGATCATTAAGTCATTCATAATAATTTCATGGTTGCCATGTTGTGAAGAATCCATTTAACTGTTGTATAATATCTCTTTAGCTAGCTTTGTAGCTCATTCATCAAGGCAACCTTTGCAAAGGACAGTTCAGCCAACAAAAAAAAATGTATTAACACCTTATTAACATTTACAAGCTTATTATAGTGGGAGGGCCCCTCGTTAATTAATGACTTGTTATTAGTTAAAGGACCTGCACAATCATGGTACATCCACATTGGTTATTTCATTGGCCTTGTCTCAGGTCTATGCTGATGTGAATTCTCAGCATAGCTCCTCTCACCTTCAACCTTAGCAGATGTCCAATCATTCAAAATAACTTAAAACACCAGTGGGGGTGTGCAGGGCCTTTAGTGCTACACACCTGCTAGCTTATCAATTGAGAAACTCATAAGCCTTCTATCTACTCACTCTCTGATAAGCCATCACATTTGCAGTCATAGTAAGTCATTAACAATTTTGAGCAAATTGATCAGGAAATGCAATCAGTTAATTTTCATTTACTAGCTACTACTTTATTAATCATCAGTGGGAGCATCAATGTTTTGTATTCAACATGCAGAAATACAAAATGAGACATTGTAGTTAGCTCAGTGTTAGACGTTAGTGACTGCACACACTCCTGGTCCTGTACTGTAGTTGCTGTCTTCACACACCTTCCTGCCTGTCTTCAATGTATATATAGCTAGCTGTCAAGCTAAGAGGATACAATATATAATATATATATATAGTATAATTGGGAATAGTAGCATGTTCAATTGACCAATCAGCAGCCTGACAGAAGCATGAATAAGCTCTGAATTTGCATAGCTAATAACAACCAATCACTACTTCACATTGTTCGTCCATGAAACTCCTCCTTTACTTTGGCTCTAAATTATTTCCCCCCTAAAATGCAGAGTTTAGAAGAGTAAGTTTATTCCAGCATCTGGAACCTGTCACTGAAGTTCCACAGTCTAAACAGCCTTTATAAAAGACTTTTTGAAATGATCAGATTTAGATTCTCATTGATGGATATTGATAGCTTGAAAAATAGCTAATAACAATGCTAGGTAGAGTCTATTTTTTTTTTATATATTATTATATATTGTATATGTAAAATGTTGCATTAACACTGGCCTCACACATTTGCCTTAGCTAAGATAGCTAGCTAGCTAAAAAGACACAACATACAAATAACAGGTTGTTGGATGTCATTTCTGCTTCCTTCAGCAGAACTCAGCTGTTTCCCCAGTGTTTGTGCTGAGCCAACATTACACTAAACATATCCTAGACCTCTTTTCAAAACCTGGAAAGTTTAATGGTTTATAATTAATTTTAAAAGCCTTAATGAATCATTTATTCATGCTATATGCGGAGTAGCTGCCACTCCAAGCACTTTTGTCCTCTTTGTGGCCTTAACACAACATCTAGACAGGCCATGTGGTGAAAGCATCTTAGTAATGACACACTTAAAGTCATTAAGTATGCCTAATTAAAATGTGGTGCCATGTACAGACGTGAATGTTACACTCGCCATAATAATAATAATAATAATAGTACTTGTCAATAACGGTAACTGACCTGAAATAAGGGCATAGCAGTTTAATATGGTGCAAAAGGAGCAGATGACCTGATTGAAGGCTGCTGGTGTCTAGTTATAGTACATACGTTTCATAGAGCCAGAAATAAGGTCACTGGTTAAGAGAAACAGTTTTCAAGTTAATTTCTGCACATAGATTCTTTTAAAGTGTGCAAGTCACTTAAGTATCTATAAAATAGTGGAGAGTCCGCAAACTTGGTAACTAGTTTAATATAAATAATATAATATCAATAGGTGTGATTGCCAGTTAGGCTAAAGCAACAATGATGTTAACAATGTTTGTATCGAAAATGTATAGTCTCAAAAGATTTCTAACCTCTGCATCCAGAACAGACAGGTACACAGGCAGTAGTACTGTATGTATATAAACCCTGCTGTATGTTGACTTGATGCAGGATGTCAGTAAGCGCATGTCCCTGCCCATGGACATCCGCCTGCCTCCAGAGTTCCTCAAGAAGCTGCAGCTGGAGAGTGAAAACTCACCGCTCTGCAAACCTCTCAGTCGCATGTCTCGACGTGCTTCACTGGTTAGTGCGCTCTCTCTCTGTCACTACACATTGCACTGTATCTATTTATTTATGACATATTACAAACTCGTATTGACGTGATTTAGTAACCACTTCATCTAACACTTTATAGGCTTATAAATAAACCTCATATGAATCTAATTTTAGCAATTGTATTGGCTTGTTTATTTTTTATTTCTGAAGCAGTGAACGTCTCTGTTCATGTTACAGAGCATATTTCCTCTCTGCAAAAGACTAGTTCTCTTATCTTGCCTTCTTGTTATGATTATTTAGTTCTTTGTGTGTCAGTATTATAATGAGTCCCTTATTTTCTTAATTTTCTTATGATATTTTCCCCAGTTTTCTGTTAAGAGACCATTAAGAGGATTTGTGTTTAATTAACTTATAAAAACATTAACTAATGTCTGCAAATGTGACCTTTTCCCAGGTGTAATCAAAGGAGGGAGTCATAACAGATTAGTTTGTCTTTTTCTTTTTCCCTCTAGTCTGATATAGGCTTTGGGAAACTGGAGACGTATGTGAAACTCGGCAAACTGGGTGAGGTACGTCCCTACCAATTAGTCACAAATTCACCTTTTAACATTTATCAGATGGTCAATGAAGACAGCTGACACATGGTTCAGTGAGGGATTAATGCTCCACTTCTACACCCACACTGCTGCAGCCACTGAGCAATATAAAATATAAAATAAACCATCTCCAAGGTGTATTCTGTAAACCACGCTGACCACGAGGTGTCTGCGAGACTTCATTATACTTATCAGGCTGCATATGAGTCAAACCACTCGGGGGAGACGACGTCTGTCAAAATGAGTACGGTAGCTCTGTTGATATGCCTAAACAAGACAAACTACACTATGCGTGCGTCTGGTTTCTTGCATTAGTTCTGCGTGGCTGGCGCAGCTTAACAAGAATAAAATCAGTGTTAAATCTACATTCACACCATGTGCTTAGATGCGTTGCTCTCCGTAGGATCACAATGCTCGGACGTGCATTGGATGAAGAGGCCATTAAGATCGCACGACACGGATGATGCACTTAAATCCCAAACCATTTATTTGAGAACGGTTATTGCCTTAAGGAGTGGGGAATGATTAGTGACAGAAGCTGTCTGCATTAGTCTCAGTCACAAGGCTTAGCAGCAGATAGCAGTGGAAAACATTTTGTCTCTTTACTGCCTGTGGTTAATATACAGTTATTATAACACCTACTACATACTGTGCAAAGCCAGTATATATTTATTTATTTATTTATGTGAATGATAATCATGAGTGAGAAAGATGAGCTGTGATAGTCATTAATCAAAACCCCAATAATCAGATCCTGAAGAAACAAATATGCATTGAATTAAAGGTTTAAATCAGAGCCGGTTTAAAGATGCTTGCATTACATAACGTTTTGATGCGATTTGAGGTTCAAGCTTCTGGCCTCATTTAGTCAGGTGGAATTTATTATTTGTTAATCTTTTTGTTTACGTGCTACAGTATAGAAAATGAAAGTAAATAGGCAGTGAACAGATTCCAATCAAAGTAACTTCATTATTCTCCTCCTAATAATAAATTTGTGTGTGTGTGTGTGTGTGTGTGTGTGTGTGTGTGTGTGTGTGTGTGTGTGTGTGTGTGTGTGTGTGTGTGTGTGTAGGGGACGTACGCGACAGTGTTCAAAGGGCGAAGCAAGCTAACAGAGAACCTGGTGGCGTTGAAGGAGATTCGACTGGAGCACGAGGAGGGAGCGCCATGCACTGCTATCAGAGAGGGTACACACACAGCAGCAAACATACACACACACACACACACACACACACTCACACACACACACACACACACACACACACACACACACACACACAGCAAACACTCAAACACTCTGATGTTCAGTCAAGGTTGAGGGCAATGTGTGCTGCCCTCAGTAAATAATGATTCTATTTTTAGATGAACTAATTTAAAGAAGTAATTGACTACAGCACATTTTAATCTTCCTCTTTCATTTAACTGAACACTCCTTTACGTGTGGGCTGTTGCTGTGTGACTTAGCATCTAAACTGGGCGTGTGAGGGGGTTCCCTCACATGGGTCAATCAAAGGGAAACAACATAATAAGACTCAGAAACTGGTTTGAACTTTCATTTTACAAATTGCTGAGGAAAGAATATAGAAATGTTTTAATGTACATAACAACATACAGTGTCATCATGTCATAGAACATTTTGCCACCACAGCAATAACTATGTCTCCTTACAATGTCCTGCAGTATGGATAACAAGTCAAACTTACATAGTTTGGCCTACATTAAAATTACAGGCAGAACTGGTCAGACAGTTGGTCATTTCAAAGCCTCAGGTGACAGTTTACTGACAAATTGACTTCATGTCCACCTTGCATGTACATGTAATGGACATGTGTTGGTGCATTAGTTCATACATAGTTGTTATGAAATGACCTCTTCACTTTTTCAGATAATTCTCCTTCGAGCATCAAAGATAGACTGAGACAGATGTGACACCTTCTAAAAATACAATGAATGAATGATCTTGTGCTTTTCTTCTGTCCTTAAAGGAAAATGATGTTATTTTCAAACTGACCTATTTCCCACAGCTGTGGCTATTTTGACTCTGGTGATTGTGCAAACTTTCCACTTGCCACCTCTGTTGAAGAACTGAAGGTGCACAAGCTTCCTACAGCTTTCCAGATAAACAGGATTTTTACATGAATCATTTCAAACATTTGTCTCTGAGACAATCGGGAGCCACCTGGAAATGGCCATTATGGCTAAATTCATAATTGACATGCTGGATAACTTGCTGGCTTTCTTATCACACGGAGAGCTGACTGTTTGGTTCATCTGGCTTTCGGTCTTTAGTCTTTTCGTCCAGTCAATTTTGGGGAAGTGAAACAGAGTCTTCAGGACGCTGATGTTGATCAAAAATAATTAGTGAGCATTGCTTGCACACAGATCACAAATAGCGCCATTTCATTCACAAGTTGCACATACATTAGCAAGTCCTGCAGCCCTCGTGTGTCCTTCCATGAGTCGAAAGTTTAGTGTTTCTTTTGATTAGTTAAATATATAAAAACTAACTTTAGAGGGAGTTATCTCTCGTAGAAAGTCGCAGCTTGCATGTTTGGCAAAAGCCGCAAATTCTTTAAAGGAGCTATAAGTTTTGCTTTCGCTACATAGTTAAGATTAGCATTAGCAGCTGTTTAGTTACCAGTCTTGGCAAGAGCTTCAGCCATTGTTGCATTTACAAGACAAGAAGTTATAATACGCCCTCTGAGCAGCGCTACTTCTTCAGGATAGACTGGGCGCTACAGAGACTCAGTTGGAATTACATTGGAAAGTGACGAGACAGGCCGACCAGTCCCAAGCTAGCTGGTTAGCATGCTAACTTCAGTAGAAGAAAAGCAGTGATACAAAAAGAAGCAAAACAATAGGACAGCTGATGGCGAGTATAGGAATGAAGTTTGATGCTGAACTTGCAATGTTTCTTTTATACTGGTAAGTCACTAGCTGTTAATGCTAACGTTGGCTATGTAACAATAGAAAGACGTACAAATAGCTCCTTTAAACCTCAGTTAATCCAGATCTGCATTTGGGTTATGTTAAACCTCAGATACGATGTCCTCTATAGTGGAGTTTAGGTGATTTCTTCAGGACACAGCAGCTGGGTTTATTGACCACATGATCCACATGATTTTGTTCCAGACTACACAAGTTTATCCTAAACCTTAAATAATAGCTAAGCTGCTGTTAGAGCAGCAGGCGTTAGAAGATTGTTTTGTGGTAGTTTCTATTGGACTGGTTTCTACTGCTGGAGAGAATTGTGCAACTTTCGTCTACTTCCTTTGTCCACACAGTATCTCTACTGAAGAACCTGAAGCACGCCAACATCGTCACGCTGCACGACATCATCCACACCGACCGCTGCCTCACACTGGTGTTTGAGTATCTTGTGAGTACACTGCAGTAACCAGGCGTTCTGAAGGTGTCGGCCTCAAATACAAAAGTGCAATATGGATAGATCTGACAGTGAATACTGTAGCTTTTGTCTTCCAGGATAGTGACCTTAAACAGTATTTGGACAACTGCGGGAATCTCATGAGCATGCACAACGTCAAGGTGAGCCACACACAAGGAAGTGAGTCAACAGCAGCTGCATCAAATGTCAGTGACGCAACCAACCACATACCAAAGACAGACAGGGACAAGTATTGGATAGATAGATAGATAGATAGATAGATAGATAGATAGATAGATAGATAGATAGATAGATAGATAGACAATGTTATTTTATGCTATTACATTTAAAATGGCAATCTTGAAGATTTCAGTCTTTGCTGATTTGGCGACACCTGTAGATACTAGTGGTGTAATACAACAGGTCAAAGAATTCTGGCGACAGCAATACAAACAATTGTTGTTGTAATAAAGAAGTCATGCAATGTTTAACCTTTGTCTATCATTCTGTGGGCAGCCGTGGTCTGACTTTATGCTGCACACAGCATGAGACTGCGAACAGCAGTGCACAGTGAAAGGATTTGATTACCTCGCTGAGAAGTTGGGGGTGTGCAGTTCTTCATCTAACAACTCACTGTGACTGCTACTCCTTCTGTTACTCTGTTATAAAAGCCAACTCGTGTTTTGCCCGTTAAATGCTTTTACTGTGAAGATGCAGCAGTAGGAAATGTTCAGTTTGTATTAGCAGCAACTTAACCTTTTCCAGGAACATCAGTGGGTTATAGGCTCAATCACAAGTCAGTGTCAAGTCAGTGGAATAGATGACTCACATTTAATTTATTTAAATGAAAATCTATGAGATTGCCACTTTAAGATTGCCCACGTTACAGGGCTAAGCAGCTGAAATACTAATGCAGAAGGTCTTTTGACATCACTTACTGAAGCCCTGAAAGTTGAAAATGACAAAAACTTATTTAATGTTAAAAATATACAAAATATTGTAAATAAACAGCAATATATTCCAGTATGACTGTTTTTTCTTTTTTTTGGTTCACATTGTTTGGTTCATTTTCCAACAGATCTTCATGTTCCAGCTGCTGCGTGGTCTGTCCTACTGCCACAAGAGGAAAATCCTCCACAGAGACCTAAAGCCTCAGAACCTGCTCATCAACGATAAGGGCGAGCTTAAACTAGCTGACTTTGGTAGGAAAACAGCACACACTCTCTCTCTCTCTCTCTCTCTCTCTATATATATATATATATATATATATATATATATAATGCAAATGTGGTTGTAGAAACTTGTTTCGTGCCACAATCGCTTTCTAGTTATATTTTACTGCCACTCTGAGATCTTCTCTCTTGATTACTTTAGCACCTTTACTTCCTGTATCCTAGCAACTGTGCGCCGCTCTCACTCTGAGTTTTTTCAGTTTTGTGCTGGAAGATAAACCCACCAAAATTCCTTGACTGTTTCAATTTAACTAAACGCAGCAAATGAGCCGATAGAGGGACTATTCCAACATTTTTCTTTGGTGACACTGATCTGTAGTGAACTCTATGCCAACACAGTGTGTAAAGGTCAAGGCTAAGATGCTATGATGTGTGTCTGCACTGATACACTTGATATTTAATGCAAATAATGTTTTATATTACACCTGTACTGACACATAATACTTGTCATTTCAAGGGAATCTTGGTGCAAAGATAGTGAGAGTGAAAAAATATTTGCACAATTCTGCCGTTCTGCTGTTACTAAGGTTTCGCAACCTTAAACCCTGTGTTGTTCAGGTCTGGCCAGGGCCAAGTCCGTCCCCACTAAAACCTACTCCAATGAGGTGGTAACTCTGTGGTACAGGCCCCCTGACGTACTGCTGGGCTCTACAGAATACTCCACTCCCATCGACATGTGGTGAGTAGCACATGGATATTTGATCACAGTGCACTGATCCCCAGTGCCACAATGAACATCTGCTCACATTGGTGCACATACTGCACTGCGACGACTCAGTATGTCCTGTGACTGAGCATCTCAAAAGTGAGAGCTGAGGCCTTGAAACCCTGAATGGAGATAATAAGATATTATACAACATGAAGCTCGTTCTGTAGGTTTAAATGGGATGCAACAGTTACTGTACGTATTGTGTAGATTTTCATATTTGTGTTGAGCAAGCCTCACTCTCTGGAACTAATTCAAGCTCATCTGAATGTAAGGCTGAGGATTTCAAAGAATTGTGTGCCTGGTTCACTTAAAATACGTAGAATATATAAGACACCATATAGGTCAGGGTCCTCCATCGCCATGTTTGTCGTCCTTAGCAACGTATAAGGTGGGAAAAACAACATTAGGTGGGTGCAAAGTGACATAGGAAAGGAAGAAACCTTCCTTGGTCAAAGCAAATCCCCTGAGGCCCTGGTGTTTGTATAGAAATCTTCTCAACTGTCATTCCTCATTCATCCACCAGATGCCCTCAGATTTTCCCTCCTGTCCCCGTTACCTGGCACATCCACGCCCACCCACACACCTGTTCTCAGTTTCCCAGTTATCCAGCTAGTATTTAAATGTACCTGTTTTACCTGCCCCCCCCCCCCCCAGATCATAGTTTATTCTCATTCCTCTACCTCTCTGCCCGTCTGTGTGTTTCCCTGTAAGTCTTCATCATCATGTCATTAGGGTCTCCTCACTGCATCTGCCTGCTGTGTTTGGGTCCTCCCTGCCTGTGATCCGCACATCAAATGTGATGTAGTTTTCTCCCATCTCATTAGTCTGACAGCCATCTGATAAGTTTGTGTTTTTTCAAAATTCTTCCAGAAACAAATTCTATGAGCTGCTCAGTAACTTTTGCTTATCATTACTTCAGTTTGATGTTTTAGTTTCACTGATCAGACCAATGTGCAGCCTGACATTAGAGGGGTGTTTTCACATTGATCTGCTGAAGGAGGAAAGTTTCTCTGTGCCGAGTTTAACATGTGAAACTACCATTATTATTTACAAGTTTAAATATTTACATCTGCATCTTTTAAAACAGTCATGGTAACCTCCTGAATCCATCTCTGTAGTTTTCCTCTTATTTACCTCAGTCCTCCTCGCCTCTGGTTGGTTAGTTTAGCGAGGTGTGGCTTGGAGACAGGAAGTTGTGTTTTTGTGAAACGGGTGAAGTGCGGAGGGAAGTAAAACTGCTGCTTGAAAAGTTAATCTCGTCTTATCAAGAGTGATCCAAACTGCCACATATCGAACGATCTTGTTACACATCTAACCTAATACATATAATCCATGCACCGTTATTGTCCAATGCTTTTAACTTCAGAAGTGTCCCAGCCAGGGTCATCTCTTCTTCAGTCCCCTGGTCGTCTGTGCTACTTGCAGCGCATTTCTGTATTTGATTGTGTTGTAAGTATTTGAAGCGCATGTGTTGGCAAATTAATGAAGATGTTTTCTGAATTTGCTTTTGTTTTGTCTGTTTCTCCAAGTTACAGTGCGTTGAGCTCTCAGGGCCACCATACATATGCAGTGTGGAAACTTACAGCGCACATACACTGCGAATGGACTTTTCAGTGAAGTCGGAGACATCTTGTGTTCAACAGTAAAACATTTGAAAGAAAAGATATTTGCATATTCATAGAGTCTGGATTTTTCAATGAGCGATTGGCAGCAGATGTAATTTTAAGAAAAGTTTGACCAGTTAATTTAACTTTTAGTGGAATAAAGCAGATCAGACTCAAAGCATAGTCATTTTATATGTCTTAAAACATGTTTGGGGGATCTTTAAGGACTGTCTTATGTAGTGTATCAGTCTTTGATCACAGGTAATTGTGGCCATTTGTATAAAGTCTGTTTTGTCAGCAAACATCACAATAAGCTACAACAACTTTAACTGCGATTATCTCATTTTTCTCAAGGTTGAGCTACACAATGTGATTTTGATATGATACTGAATATGGAATCACAAATATTGATAGCCACACCAATACCTATATTTTCTTATTTAAGCAGCTAATAGACTCATGTAGAAGAGAGCAGTGTATCACTGTTATGAGGTGAATTTGTCATCGGGTACTTGTGAATACATTTTCATTAAGTTGCCAAACATCAGTACTTAATTTTTACTTTTGTCTGTTAATGACATTTGTGTTAAAATGCAGGACAGTTTTAATGGTAAATACATTCATGTTGTGTGAATTCTGTGATCGCTGCACACAACAGCAGCAGAGAAGCAAAAACCAGATGCAATAAACAAACCTGATGTGCCCAGAACCTCATCTGATGTGAGGGGGATCAGTTTGCTTTGGCATTGATCCCAATGACGCTAGTATCAAAACTCAAAATGAGATTTATAGGTATTAGCGCTGATACTTTAAGTATTGATCCGCCCACCCCTAATATTTACACACACACAGGCGGTGCCATGTAGCCTCAGCCTGGATCTGAACAGAGCAACAGGGCGACCCAAAGCACACAGGGTTCTCAACACTCGTCCCAGCCCTGGTACTGAATGATGCTGTTACTTGGTGAATTAAATAGATATCTAACAGCTTGAGGATAGTCCAGGATTTCCAGGAATCGTGCATATCTATTAAAATCACCCAAGTTGTTAGCAGAGAGGTGAGTCACTAGTCACACAATGAAGCGTAATCTCCATTCGCTGTCCTCGTGTGTTTCTGCTCAATAGCAGTTTGCCATGGTGAGAAAACCGTGGCTGTCTAGCAACACGACAGCCTTTTATGAGTTCACCTAGCTACGTATCCTCTCATCAGACCACACGGCACCTCCTCAACACGCCACCCTGGGCGGAACAAAAGACTGCAGTGTGACCACTCACACCATACGTGTTTGCACTTATTATCGGCAACACTTTGAAGCGTGGTGTGCTTGTTGAACGGGGCCTCATGTACAGTTTCAACATGTAGGACTTCATCTCCCCCCTCTTCTTCCAGGGGCGTGGGCTGTATCCTGTATGAGATGGCAACAGGTCGTCCCATGTTTCCTGGTGCCACTGTGAAGGAGGAGCTACATCTCATTTACAGGCTCATGGGTAAAGGAGCAACAAAATATAACAATATCTTACAGGCCACACTTAAAAGTGATGTATGATGTCAGAATAAGCATTGTAAGTCCTGGGAGAATAGATGACCATGTATTTCCTTTGTTCTTTGTCTGTCAGGCACTCCAACGGAAGAGACTTGGTCTGGTATCAGCAGTAATGAGGAGTTTGGGTCCTACCTCTTCCCTCAATACAAACCTCAAGCTCTCATCAACCATGTGCCCAGGTATCGCTAACAAATCTCACTGTCTGTTCAGCTGAGGGGGGAGAGAAGGAAAAACTCAAGATTGAGAGTCTGCAGCCGTGCTAGCTGCTCTGTTAGGCCTAACTTGGACACAACTAAATGCTAATGTTGGAATGCTAACATGCTCACAGTGACAATACTAACATGCTGATGTATAAGGTATGTTTACCATGTTCACCACCTTAGTTTGGCATGTTGGCCAGTTGTGGAAGTACTCTACATATACATAAATACACTGCACTGCAAATTCAAAATACTACTTGAGTAAAGGTACAAAAATATTAGCATTGAAATATACTACAGGTAAAAAGTAAAAGGGCTCATTTTGAGCTACTTTATACTGCCCTTAGTTTGTCTGTGTGAACGTGGTGGGATCACCACAGAAATAGAGATAATAATATATATAATAATAATCCATATATTAATGAGCAGGGCTTTTGCTTGTTAAAGTATGACATACGACCTTAGTTTACCATCAAACAGACTGCTGAAGTGAAGTTCTATATTTGTCCCAAACATGAGCTCAGGTCCAAAAATAGAAACTCTAATTCTGGAGATTAATGTCAACAGAACTAAAGAGATTATTATTGTACCAAGCAGGTTTTTATAAGAGCTAGCTAGTTGAAATTGTTGACCAAGTCTGGGCTGCCAGACAGCTTCATTGTCTTAGGTTACTCAACAGTTTTCATGTTAGTCAACAATCTTAGAAGCAACTTACAAAACTCAAACACTGTCAGGACAAGATAGATATAGATAGAGATATAATAAATTATAACAGTTCCCATCCTTCATTAACACAACTGAAGACTGGACTCTGAGAGGTGTTTTGTCTTTTAAGAAGTGTTCTATAATAACTGCGGTCAGTATTTAAATATTGCATTTTTATTTATATTAGTGTGTTGTGTTTTATACTTTGTTGTTTTTTGTCACAATATTTGTTGTAGGATAGCATTCCTCAGATTATTTTGTTATATTATCAGTATCAGAGTTATTCTCCCCTGGAGAGTCACAGTACAAGCTGAAGTTTTTCCTTTGTGTCCATCAGGTTGGACACAGAGGGGATTGAACTGCTGTCTGCTCTGCTGCTGGTATGAGACAAAAGCTCAATCACCTTCACACACATGGATTTGAGACAGACCTTATCATTTATTTCACAGTCAGTCTGACTAATCAGCTGCTTTTTGTATTATGATTGCAGTACGACACCAGGAGCAGAATCTCATCTGAAGGCGCTCTACGACACCCCTACTTCCTGAGTCTGGGGGATAACATACACAATTTGGCAGACAGTAAGACACACACACACACGCACGCATACACGCACACACACACACACTAACACACACACCACACACTGTACACACACTATAAAAACCTCTCAAGTGTTTTTGAGGTCCACAGTTCTTGGCAGCTCCGACTGTGAAAAGCAGACTGCACTTCTCCTGTATATGTGTTAATTTTCCATCCCAGCAGTGGCCTTTTCTAAAAAAAAACACACTTGAATCCTGTGCTTTTTGGTCATTTTACACAATTTCTCAGTTCAGAAAAGGACAGAACACGCTGTTTAGAAGCTGTGGGGTTTTACCGAATTAAACTGCTGACCAAAGTGACGCAAATTTAGCCCCTATTCTTTTTCTATGGGATGTAAGCAATGTGGCTCATCATTCAAGATGATATGGGACTGATCAAACGTGAAGTGGTGCTTGGCACAAAGTCAGTTCAATTGTTGGAGAATGTTTTTGGTTGATGATAACGTTTGCAAAAGGTCGCTAGCTTGTGTCACACCCACCACGACGATGTTGCATGGGTTTGTCTGCTTCCGGAGGGTCTTCTCTATAAGATGTTACTGTCTGTGGTCAGGTGATTTCTGATGTAATCGCCAAAGTTTCCAGATCTAGTTCCAGCACCTGAACTGATGTGCACAAATATAAATGACAATCCGTAAAGCAAAGAGCAGAATCTGTCGCTGCACTGTGTAGTGTAAGTTTGCAACGCAGCAGTTAAATTTCGAATACTCTGGCTTGGTATCAGGCCAAAATATGTTCTGTTTGATCTTGTATTTTTGAAAGCAGATGTATATTAACACAGCACAAGTAAGCAACTGATTGTGTTCCACAGCTGCTTTACCTGCATTCAGTTGCTTTTCTTGCATAATGTACAGTTTAATAATCTTTACCCTGCAAACGACTGTTTACTCTTTTGAACATTTAACCTTGTGTGATAATGTTAGAAAAGTGTGAACAGCAACAAAAGGTTTGCCGACTTATAGCAGAATTTCAAAGTAACATCTACACATTACAGCATAAACATAGTTACAGTGGAACTATACATTTTTGTTTTCAACAACACATTAGTAATCACATTTGTGCATTTGTCTTAAAGTTTGCATGTCAGGTTGGAACCTCTGGGTTGTATGATAATGGGGGTTGTTTTAAGCGCATGTCTCGTTTCCAATTAGAGGCAACACACAAAGACTTGTGTCTGTGCTCGTCTGTCCTCTCTCGTCTCTTTGTTTCAGCTGCCTCAGTGTTTTCCCTCAGAGAGGTGCAGCTCCAGAAGGACCCGGGCCACCGCAGCTCCGTGTTCCAGCCTTTGGGTAAAGTAACTGACACACAGAACATGACATGACTTCACCACAAACTTTGGTCAAGTCATTGGTCGCCACTCATTTCTTCACAGTTATAAGAGTCCTGCACATGGACTTTGTTCCGCACATTATGTGTATACAGCTTTCAAACTGCTAATGAGAAGAGATTTCTTTTTCCTTAGTTTCTCATAGAGTTTAGTTTTGTCTACATGTAAGAATGACAAAAGTTTCAAAGCAAGCATGAGTCTCTAATGATAGCTATGGGAACAGCATTACTCCTGACCACAACAATCTGAAATTCTAAAGTGTCAGCAGAGGTACTTTGCTAATTGGCTAAACTCTGCAAGAAGCCAGCGCAGAGTTTGTTTACTCGGACACAAATAAAATACCACAGACAGGAGTCTCACAGGAACGGGAAGACTGTGAAAATAAACAAGGAGTTGTTTACATATTCAATTCTCACTCTAATAAGCTCTTCATACACTTAATAAATCTCCCTATGGCTTTATTTTCACCTGTGTAGGCTCATTTAAAGCAATACTTTGAATATTTAGCAAGTAGCATCAAACTGATATCGGTAACATGAGGAAAGAATTGCTGCTTGTTAACAATGAATTATCACCATTTTAGAGGAAGTGATATCTCGCTTTGTCTCTCTCTCTCTCAGGTCGAGGGAAGAACCGGAGACAAAGCATCTTCTAGAGGTCGCACAGGGGAGGAACAGAGACACACACACACACACACACACACACACTCACACACATAGAAAAGAGGAGCTGCCTTTCCGGACCACAGCACAAAGGCTAACACAGCTCAGCACATTCACAAGCATGCTGCACCTACACACACACACACACTCATGTGCACTCACTCATACCCATGGCAGCTGACCGTGGAGACACACAGGGTTTGTGGAAATAAAGGTGTACTGCACTTTGTCTGAGCTGAGACACACTCTCCCTACGCACACGCACACACACACACACACACACACACACACACACACATATTTGCACACATTTGCACAATCAGCAATGGCAAAGCTGCCATTACTCAGTTGCACCAGAGACACCAGAGATTTAAGTATCCTGCTGACACACACATACATTTTAACCCAAGAACAAAAAATTGGGCCACTCAATAAAACTGCTTGACATAGTACCACCATGTATCACTTCTATTCAGAGCTCAGCCAGAGCTCTGGCCATCTAAGGTAGCTACCACATCTGGAACCATCAGACAGGTGCAGGTGTGCAGAAGTATTGCCTGACACAAACACCACAGAGACAAACAAAGAGGACGGTTGTGGTGTGAACGGAGGTCGCGTCACTTTTACATAAAATCTAATGATTTTTTTTTTTCCTTTTCAAATTTTGCTAATTGTTTTGTCTTGATAATATTTAGGCGCATCTTTAAACCAAAACACCAAGATGTAGCTCAAAGATACACTCTCTGATTTTTGCTTTAGCATCCAGTGGTGCCTCCAAATTTAATAGCATTCAACAGTGGCATTCTGGGATTTGCTGGTTCTGGTAATTTAATTTTCCCTGAACTGTTCACGTGTGCTTTATGTAAATTTTTATTTCTCAGCATGAATATCTAAATGGTGTTTCAAAGCCTTCTTTGTGTTATAAGGAATAAACATCTGATAGAGGAATTCATAAGAAGTCAAATTTAAACATAATGAATCTGATATACTGGAATTAGCTCATAAAATGCCTCATTTGTGGTATTAGGCACTAGCTATGTAACAAACTCAGGGTGTGTATCTTTACAAAGAGAGAGCACATTAAACTCTTTAGGAACTAACAGGCTAATTACAGAGAGAAATGTAATCATGAGCCTGCAGACCTCTCAAACAAACAATAAAGGTTCAACCTCATACTGTATGTAAGCTAATGCACAAATGCATTAGCTTACATATCCAGGGAGCTAACCACTGTAAGCTAATGCATTAGTGCATTAGCTTACAGTGGTTAGCTCCCTGGATATGATAGCTAGCTCATAATCTGGCGCAATTTAAACTAAATCAGATTTATCTGTGATGAAATGTCAGAAGGTTCCCCCAGTATGGCAGCTACGGGTTTATGTTATATGACCTGACAGTCTTGAAGTTGTAAATACACACATACTCCAGACATTGAAATAGTAGCAACACACTGTTCATCTACGGTACCTCTCCTCACATGAGGCAAACATTTAACCTACCATAGAATCTGACTGCTTCATGAATATATAACTTCAATGGATTCATGTCGACAGATTTGCCTTGCTACAGCGGCCCCGTGTTTCAGCGCAGTGTGGGGTTTTTTTTTGTTCCATACAGTGTTAACAGCTGACTTTCACTCCAGTTTTTGAAGTTGCCTTAGTAAACTGTGCATGATATTTTGGCTTGTGAAGAATCTATATTTGATCTAGTGTAGCCAATGTGTTAGGAGGCATTTGCTTTGTGTCTGTAAATAACTCACTATGAGTGTATGTATTTCTTAGTCTCCTATTTGCACAAACCAAAAGTGTCCTCTGAAGCCTGCTCCCTTCCCTTTGTGTCCTACCTAACATGTTTTCAAAATATGACCCCATATTGCACCAAAACCCTTTAAACTTACACCACTAAAAGTGTGGGAAAGTGTGTTCTGCAAGTACTTTCTCGTAGCAACTTACTCTCAGTAGGAGTAACCATTATCCCTTATGTTTTGCTCAGCTCTATTAGACCTGTTGCCGGGAAGCTGCTTTCAGCTCCACAAAAGCCAGTGTGAAAAAATACATATAGTACAAATTCCACTCAGCTGTTAACAGACACAAATGTAAAAAATGTTAAAACTTGCCCCTCTCAGTTATTATTATTACTTATTGGGATGATTGAGCCCAGAGGTTATGCATATGCCCTAGATGATGAAATGTTCTTCAGTCTCAAAAGTGATGGTGGCTTATGGCAAGAATACACTCTCCTGTCTGCTTAATCTGCCCTAACTCTGTCTCCACCCTTTCCCTCTGTGTCCAGCTCTGGGGAGTGGTCCTAATGTAAACCAATGACAAGGGGCTGGGCCCGGCCTGTGGGGCATGATCAATGTCTGTTAAGTTAACGGTGCAATATGAAAGAGACACTATAAGTCTGTATGGAATACAATAGTGGTTCTCTATCACCATCATTCTTCCAGTCACTAAAATTGTGCTGTGCTTTTCAGTGGACTTACAGATATGAAGTTGCATTCATTTGCTTATTTCTTGATTGGACCAAACATGTTTTATAATTTGATGTAGTAATATACATGGTGGACTGGTTATGGACTATTTCCTTTGTATATAATCATGATTCAATCCATAGTATGTGTGTGAATATTAGGAGTAATGCAGGTAATAAGAAATGCTATGTGAAAAGCTACTGCTGTAGATTTTTTAAGACATTTGAAGAAATTCAGTTGTGACTAATTCATGGGGAGTCCAGGCTGAAGTTAGCCTCAAACAATCTTGTTTATTACTGTTGTGGATAATGGAGGACGGACTCTCCTTGAAAGCTGTAGTTGTGTGAAGAATGGAAAAAGAAAGCTTTAAAGAGAAGTTGAAATCCTGCTTACTAAATTATACTGTTAGATGATCCTACAAGAACTCAGACTGAAGCATACAGACCCCTTCCCAGGCATTAAACCACTGTAGGGTCATTCACACATTGAGAATTGTTAAGGTCATTGTGGAGGGCCACTTCCTGTAGGACAAGACTCAGCACTCTACAAAGGACGAGATGACACTGTAGCTACCATCGCTCAACAAAGGGGTCAAGTACTTGCTATGCTGTTCTGACTTCCCTTCCCATGCAGTTGATGACCCATTCACACCTTGACTTTTGTGACTGTAATAAGTCTTAAGAACCGGGTTATGCTAGAAAAGAACTCGTTTTTATGGCCAAAGGGGCTTAGTTGTTGTTAGTTGTTAGTTGTTCTGAGTGGCCACACTCAAAACCATGATGAAAAGGGGATCCTTTTTAACAAGACCAGATGTGATAATCTTTAAACTACTACTGTTCAACAAGCACTTCTGATGAAGTATACTGGCAGCTCAACAACTTTCACATGAATGCCATTTGCCCAAAGTGCTCATCAGACAACATTTAAAACCCCCTCACCCTTCACCTTTACAACACCAGATTTGGGCGACAATATTCTGAAACAACAGATGATCTGACAAACACACTCACTTCACAGAGTTTTTTCTATTCTTCACACAACTTTAATCACTCATTGTGTACAACCAAGTGCAATGCCATGGAAGCCTTTGAGGAAAGACTACAGAAGCATATGTTATCATCACCAGTTGTACAATTCATCATGTCTCACTCATCTGTATGATGGCAGGCTTTTCACCTTGCCTTCAAGTGTGGCTGTTTATGAACACTTTTGCCTCTAGACATGGTTGGACACTTTTTACGAACTACATCCTTGCAAGCAAACCTTGCCCCCATAGCATCCTTTGTATGTTCGGCTCTGCAAATGCATGTGCATACAAACCTCTGCAATTATGTAATTGCAGACCTAGCACATGCCTTCCAAAATCTGAAACATTGCAGTCTGTAGCCATGCCGACTGAAGTGCCTCTTTGGTGATGATTTCTACCCCTGACTCTATCACCAGAAATCAATAAGAACACATGTGCAGCCTGCACAGTGGCAACATACAGCCACTATAAAAGTTTTAGAACCATCACATTCCACAGGAGAAGAGCATCACTTCCCTTGCCTTCTCCTTCTACAACAGTCTGCTCATTTACCGCTGTGTCACAGTGCCCGAGATGACAGTGCAGTTCAGTACTCAGTTCAGTGCATTTCTGTACCCCTAGTGACAGAAATGTACCTTTATGTCCTAGTACAAAAATATACCCACTGGAAAGGAACAGAACTGGTACCTTATTATTTTTTATGTCTGTTATTTCTGACTGTATTTTGATAGGTGCAGTGAAAGAGAAAGACAGGGAATGACATGCAGCAAAGGGCCATAGGTGAGACTTGAACCCATGGCCGCTGCAGTTAAGACTAAACCCATGTAATACGCGCTCTACCAGGTGAGCCACCAAGATGCCCCCAGAAGTGGTACCTTATGAGGTACAGCTCAAGCAGCATTTCATTTTGTACCTTTATGAAGCAAAAACATCTGCCTAAGTTCAGAGACAAAAACATTTACAGTTACTGACCAAAATTTATTTTAAAAACTGACAATTAGTTTACATCTTTTATCAAAGTCAACATTTTATATGTAAACGAATCCATTTTCAGTGCATTTCACGTATTGTTCTGATAGAACAATGATTTGTCCTTTAAAAAAATGCTTTTCAACATTAAGATGAAGCATAAGACATAAGATTAGGAGCCATGCTCTAATCACTGAGTGCAACCAAGCAAAATTTCATTTAGGTTTCACACAAAAATGGAAATTGAATTGAGTGGAAATTGTTGCCTATTTTATTACAACAAACCCAACTATCTATTTAAAGCAAGATTGTGTTATCACTGATTTGCAGTATCATCTGCCTGTACCTTAATCTTGTTAAAAGAACCATTATGTACCCTTTGCTGTCAGCAATGATTTTGTACCTCTAAAATTAAACAAAGATCCACAGTTATCACCCTAAGGACCATTTCAGTACCTTACAGTACAGTACAGAACTTTTCTGAAAAATGTACCTTTGGCTGCAAAAACAATACCCTTATTTCTCTGTGTGTTCAAACCATGCATTTTAATGACTCTCACTTTTAACATCTCTCAATGTGATACTGACCCTACGGAAGTTGAATTCATTGACTCCCAACCAGTCAGTCTGGACTAAGGAGGCCTGTCAGATGAGCAGCAAAACGTCCTCAGCAAGTCTACAGCAGTTGGTCTTCATTTAGCACTTCTAGATTGATTGGATCCACAGATTTGAACAGGTCATCAAGTAGAAAATGAATGACATTTGAGACTGTTCAGGGAAGCCAGAGGTAGAGAGGCTAGTATTCAGAGAGTTGATGGTTTGACCCTTAGAAGCAGGGCGTGTTCAGCTGCCCTAAAGCCAAGCACTGAACCCCTAAAGCAATCAAGCGCCTGACTGATTTGAAGAGTCGTATGTGCGAAGGTCAGGAGATTTATGTTTGTGCATGAGTAAAAGTTAAATGACTGCTGAAAGTTTTTCTACCTCTAAAAGTGAATGAAGCTGATGGAAGAATAATGTGTTGACCATTCAATCCTTTGATCAGCAGACAGTGATCACCGGTAAAGGTTACAGCAGCGAGAAGAAAAAAATTCAGGGCAAACCTCCAGGGACTTCAGAGAGATGTACATCCGTGGGTGTTACACTT